GGATGTGCCCGGTGACGTTGGGACTTGTGCCTGGGGGGACCAGTTCCCCAATGCGGATCCGTGGGGCTGGACACAGTTTTGGGGCTGCCTCCGTTGTCCCCAGCACCCAAGGGCTTCCTGCTGGGCACCCTCCACAGCCACCCGCGAGGAGAAAACCCAGCGGCGCCGACACCGCGGCCCGAGTCAAACTGCTCGTTTTGGAGTGTGACAACCAGGTGTTTTACAGTATTTGCTACCTGTGACCATCCATCAAAGCAATCGATAGCGTTCCTGCAGAGTTTTATTAATGATCTTGTCACCGGGCCGGTGCTGGGTGCCGGGGCTTGTCGAGAATGATAGATCATTAAGAGCTTTTGCTGCTATTTATTCTCCAGTGACCTTGTCTCTCTCCATTGTTGCTTGCTTAAGAGTTATGAATGTGAGACATGATAATTTGATATTGATCTATTTGGTAAGTTAAAAAATTTACTGCATTGTTGATGTTTTAACAAAGGCTCCGCTCTGTCCCTCCTGCAGACCCAGAGAGCAGAGGGCACTCGGCTCTGCGCCGCGGCGGGACCTGTTCTTGTCCCCATCCCCATCCCCATCCCCATCCCCATCTCCATCCCCATCCCAATCCCTGTCCCCATAGGCATCTGGGTTCCCATCCCCACCCGTGATGGGAGCACCTGGGCCGCAGGGCTCGGTCTGCCTCCCTGCTCCCTCCAAACCAATCCAGCGAATGAGCCATGGGATGGGGCTGGAAGGGATACGCAATTCCCATGCATCCGCGCAGCTGCTGCGGGCCGTTTTCCACTGCTTTCAGCTCGGCCAAAGAGAAGACAGGGACAAATCCGCTTTTACGGCCCTTTATTCCGTGGAGAAGCCCGTGTTGGCCACGCGGCGCCCCGGGCCGCTGGTCCGTGCCGGTGCCGGGCAGTGTCACCGCGGGAGCGCCCGGCACCGCGCCGGCCCTAGCCCGGGTAGAAGCGCTGCAGAAGCTCCTTCTTGTTGACCTTGCCCATCTGGTTGCGCGGGATCTCCTCCACCACGACGAGCTCCGTGGGGATGGCGTAGGGTGCCATGCTCCCTCTGCAGCACAGCAGCGCCGTGAGGGCCACCGAGCTGTCCCCAGGGCATGGGGACACGGTGGCCCTGCTCCTTCCGTGCCAAGGGAGCCCAAGCACGGGACAAACCCTCCAAGTCCCCTCCAAGGGGCGCACGGGGCTCCTGTCGCCCACGTGTCACCGAGCCGGGGCCGCGGGCAGTGTCCTGGCACTGATGCTAACGCGCGCTGCCAACTCCTGCTGCTGTCCCCCTGCCATATGGACGCTCTAACTCGGGATGGCGCCTGTCACCGGGAAGCGAGATTGGAGGCGAAAGCGGCAAAATGAATCACTGTGAAGAGGGACATGTGTCTCCTGCCAGGGAGCGCAGGAAAGGGCCAGGCGGACGCGAGTGACATCGCCAATAAAGCGGAGGGACGGGGGAGGACGTGGCGCGGGGGCTCTGGTGCCGGTGCGGGCCCGGGGCAGAGGCTGGCGGTCTCGTCCGCAGCGGATGCGTTTGGGAAGCGGTGACGGGCCGTGGTGGCCGCTTTGGATGGAGGAGGCTCGTGAGACACTCGTGAGACACGAGCGAGGCTGCAGGGAGCTGCTGGAGGCACCGCGACCCCAGCACCAAGCGCAGGGACCGGCAGCCACCGCACGGAACATCCCGGATCGCTCCATCCCCATCCGGGAGCCAGGGAGGGCCTGGATGGAGCATCCCCAGCCCAGGGCTCTCTACCCTGCACCGTGATGTGCCCAGGCAGGCAGGAGAGTCTCGGGGGAGATTGCGAGAGGGCATCGGCACAAGGAGAGCAGAGCTGCTCCCTGGGGACATCAGGGCCAGACACGTGTCCCTGGTGCCAGCAGGAGGGACAACGAGGCCTGGCATTGCCCTGAGGGCCGCAGCGGGCGCTGGGGCTCTCTGGCTGTGTCTTTTCCCTCACCAAGGGGCCGTTGGATCAGCGCGGCGGCAGCTCCCCTGCATTGCCTAAACCGCTCCCCCCAACCGCGATTTTTTGCAAATCCGGGGGAAATCTTTAATTGGCTGCCTGCACGGCCCCTGATGAAACGAGAGCTCCTACTGCTCACGAAATAGCGCCAGCCTTGCCAAAAATATCCCCTGCCTGAAGGAGGGAGCTGCCACGAAAAGGAAGAATCTACTATTATTATTATTATTATTTCCTAAGGGAATATTAGCAATAAACCCAGCAGGTCTTCCCCATGTCTGGCAGCCCTGGCTGTTCCCCCCGGCACCTTCACCCCTCCTTTTCCCGGGTGCTCCCCTGCGGATGCTGCGCGCCCGCGGGCTCCTACCTGGCCCAGGCCTTGAGCTCCTTCACCGACAGCATCTCCCCCTCGCGCAGCTGCACCACGGCGCTCACCCGCTGCCCCCACACCACGTCCGGGGGCCCGATCACGGCCACATCTGCAGGAGAGCAGGGCCCACGGCATGAGCAGCACCCGCTGGGCACAGCGGGGGACGTGATGGCACCGCTGTGGCGCTGGCACAGAGGGACACGACGCGGGAAGCGCGATGTGGGGCTGTGCATGGGCATGCACAGAGCCAGGGCACCGTGCGTGGTCCCACAGAGCCAGGGCACCCTGCGTGGTCCCCGCGGGGACACGGGCGACGTCGGCAGCCCCCACCTGTGATGTGCGGGTGCGCGAGCAGCTGCCGCTCCACTTCCAGGGCGCTGACTTTGAAGCCGCCGTTCTTGATGATGTCGACTGACGTGCGGCCCCTGATCCAGTAGACGCCGTCTCTGTAGGCTGCCGTGTCCCCTGAAAGCACAGCGGGCTCCATCAGCGGCCGTGCCGGCGCTTCCCAGCCCCTTCCCGGCAGAGCTGCGTGTGCAATGGCTCTGTGCATGCATGTGCATGCTTGCACGCATGCATATGCATTCATATGAGTGTGCGTATGTGCCTACTTGCATGTGTGCATATGCAATCAGATGAGTGTGCCTGTGTGTGTGCATGCTTGCATGTGCATATGCATTCATATGACTGTGCATGCTTGCATGTGTGCATATGCATTCACGTGTGTGTGTGTGCATATGCAGTCATATGAGTGTGCATGTGCACGCATATGTGTATATGTGCGTGTGTGTGCATGTACCTACTTGCATGTGTGCATATGCAGTCATATGAGTGTGCGTGTGCATGCTTGCATATGCATTCATATGAGTATGCACATGCATGTGTGCATGCATATGCGTGTGCACGTGCCCACTTGCATGTGTGCATATGCAGCCATATGGGCGTGCATGTGCTACTTGCATGTGCATGCATATGTATACTTGCATATGTCTACGTGCATATGTGTGTGCATGCATATGCGTGTGTGCATGTGCTACTTGCATGTGTATGCATATGTATGTGCATACTTGCATATGTATACGCACATGTGTGTGCATGTGCATACTTGCGTGTGTGCATGTGCGCCTGCTCGTCCCCCCTCGGCTCTTCCTTCCCGCCTCTGCCCTCCTGCCACGCGCCGGCGTCGCTGTCCCCTCCCGCGGCGCCGGGACGGAGCCGGCCGCGCGTGTCACCCCCCGCGGCTCAGGGCACCGCCGTGCGCCCAGGACGGCCGCATTAGCCTTTGCCCCCGCCATCTGCTACCCGCCGAGCGCGTCCAGGCGGCTTGTGAGCAGCGCACGGCGCCGCGGGGACGTCCTGCACGGGGACGCTGCCCTTGGTGACTCTGCCCCGCACGCTCCCTGAAAAGCACCGTCCCCAAACCCAAAACTGCACCGAGGCGCAGGGCAAGGCCTGCCCCTCCTGCCCCAGGGCTCCGCACACGGGTCCCTCCGCGGGGCTCAGCCCCTGCTCGCAGCTGTGTTGTCCCTGTGTTGTCCCTGTGTTGTCCCGGTGTTGTCCCGGTGTTGTCCCCGTGCCGCGCGGGCACAGCTGATGCTCGCACGGCCCCGGGATGGCTGTTTCCCTGGCAGCAGCCGTCACCGCTACCTTTGGATGCGGTTCAAGACGCTCCGCGGGCATCTGGTGTGCGAAACGTTCGCGGCTCCGCTGAGCCGCGTGCTCGGGAGGCTCCGGCACCGCTCGAGCTGGGGGCGTGCGGAGCTGCAGGCAATGCTACGTGTGTGTGTGTATATATATATATATATATATATATATACATATATATACACACACATATATATCCTCATATATACATGCACACACATATATATATATAGAGCCTGCAGCAGGCTGGTGCAAGTGGCACAGCCTGAGCAAGGAGGGAAGAGATGGGGCTGGAGCAAGCGGCCTCCAGGCGCTGCGGAAAAGACCTTTTCCTACTACTTTTGTGTTAAAAGTGAAGCTCTGGGGTGGGATTGTCCCTGCGCACAGGGTGGGAGGGTGGTTGGTGGCCCCGTGGGCCGGGCTGCGCTGCTCTAACGCGTGTCTTGGAGCCCTCGAGGCGGGCGGGCTGCGGGGCAGAGCCCGTCTCCGAGGGGCTGGCGTGGGAAGGGGGCTGTGATCCCCGTGGGAAAGGATCCCGCTGGCTCCGCGGCTCCGGCTGCTCCGGGCACAACAGCGGCAGCTCCGTCCCCGGCGCGCG